CTCTCTCTCTCTCTCTTAAAGGGACAGCGATCTCATCTCACTCTGCATGACACTAATATCATAACATGTGTGTTCTGGAGAATCACAGAACGGACGATCGTCCTTATTATTATTATGCCGTTTAAACCAATTATTTAAATTTGTTTGTTAAATTCGGCATCATGTAAGTTGCGCTGGCAGGTCCACACACTGCTTCCTCACAGCGAACCCCCCCGCCCTCCTGTTGACAGTTCACAAGCGTCAAGCTCCTCAACCCCCCCCCGTTGATAATTCTCGATCGTTGGCACGCTGATAACAATTTTTTTTTTAAATGGCACTTCATATCAAAAAGGTTGCCGACCCCNCCATGCACGCAACGCAGCCCCGCTCTCTTTAACTCCAGGCAACTTTCCTCCGTGGTGCAGTGCTGATCGTTTCACCACAGAGGAAAGCACGTCACTAATTGCAGTACCCATAAGGAGCTGTACAAAAATTAGTGACGTGCTTTCCTCTGTGGTGAAACGATCAGCACTGCACCACGGAGGAAAGTTGCCTGGAGTTAAAGAGAGCGGGGCTGCGTTGCGTGCATGGCTTCCTTCTGCAGGTAACGGGGAGACACGCTCTCGTGGCGGTCTCGTTCAGGATCCGAAAATAACATTTAAATATTTTGTCTACTTATTCATAGTGTGCCACTGGTTACGGTGCCGCGTGCCAATGGCGGTACTACGCGTGCCAGGGGTTGCCGACCCCTGGTCTAACCACACAAAGCCAAATATGAATTAGCAAGTGGAGGTTTAAGCTGGGAGATTTTTTTGTGGAATTGGAGTTCAGCTACTTACTCTGTCCATTGCTTACAGGGACCATCCCAAGAGCTGTCATTGGAAAATTTGCCTTCTGGGCATTTCTGACAAACTGTGTCCTGCGAATGGTTGCCTGAAAGCAGAAAGTGATAGATTTAGTACATAATAAAAACAGTGCTGATGTTTCTATATATTCAGTACAAATGAATATGGTGCATCATACCTCTTAATAGAGCCCCATATCCAGGTGTACAGGTGGTGTGTGGCACACAGGTGATGCACTCAGCACTGGAGCAGTGAAACCCCTCCTGACAGAGGCAGGTGCTGCGCTCCTTCTTGCTCTTATGCTCAATAACCAGGAAGTTTATATCTGAAAGAGAAATGAAGACACGTTATAAATTGTGCTGCATCAAGCTAAAGTATATCAGTATGTATAGTCACTGTTTTTTGAATATTTCGGACAGGGTCTTACTTGGGTCACAATAGGGCTGACGGTCACACTTGATAGCCTTTGTGTATTTATCCTGATATTCATTTTCCAGACATTCTTCACATCGAGGATCTTGACAAAGGTTGGAGGAAGGCATTCTGGTCCCTGAAACACAGAGTGACGCTTCTTAGTGAAACATGCAGAACTGTGCAGTATTATAGTACGTGTGTCAAGTGCATGTGGTTAATGTGAAACTGTGGCTCAAAGGAAAGGTTATGTGGGAGGAAATAAGCTCTAGTTATACTGTAACAGGTGTTTCAGCTTTTTTGCTGAGAATAAGATGAAAGTGCGAATCCACCCCATTACTGTCTATTAAATGCAACCCATGACAATTTTGTCAATGAACTGATAAAACCTAATGACAAAATCCCCTTTACAACTTCCTAAAGACCAATCTTAAAGTTATTGTTTTATCAAAAGTTTAAAAGCCGGATATATTCACAATTTCCCCGATGATTTAAACACGTGAGAATAAGCACCTCATCTAATTTGAGAAGCTGGAGCCAGATAATGTATTTTTTTGAGTATTGTATGGACCTTCTCCTCAAGTCTTTGCAATGACATCAAATGTTATTTATATAGCACTAAATAAATACAGAAATGATCTCTTGAGCCAACCCAACAACCACTTGGGAACAATGGTTGAGATGAGAGAGAAAAAGAAAGAGAGAGGGGTAGAGAAGACTGAAGAAGAGAGAGTTTAACTTTTCCTTTAACATTTCTGAGGGGAGAGTGAAAGAAAAAGAACCCAAGGATAAGAAGAAATATAAGTGAAAGCAAAAATAAATGTTATTTGTTATCAGTTTTGAACAAGCTGCTATCTCTGGGGCAGGTAAGTGAATCTAATGCGGAAGTGCCAAAAGCTTCAATGAACTTTATAAGAGAAATAACTTCAGCCTCCTTTATCGTACCATGTGCTACTTTTTCACTTCTTTTGTTCTAGCCTAGTTACATGTAATGTCCATTTAGTAATTGGAGGACGTTTAACATTTACACTGAGATACAAGTGACTCACAATTGTTAATTTTGCGTGAGTGAGTGAGTGAGTGTCTACGTGACTGCAAACATAGAAATAACACGTCCGAGATTATTTATTAACACGTGAGGAAGTCAGCAGCGGAAACGTGTTTGTCTATGTTGTTTCAACATTTTATCGTATTTGAATTTGTAGACATTTGTTGTGTAAATATCGTGTTTGTGTACGCCTGCTTTGCTTTAACTGCCCTGTAGAGGATGAATACAGTATTAAGAATAATAAAGATTTCAATACCTGGACCACACATTTTGCAGCAATCGCCGTTCACATGCGCATACTGGGTCAGTGGGTCACATTGGAGCTGAGCAGAGTTCATAACCTGATAAACAAAATGGGTGTCACTTAAACAAATAAAATCACATTTATTTATAAAGCCCAATATTACAAAAAACACATGTTTCTCAGGGGGCTTTACAGTTTGTACAGATCGACAAACATCAATGACAGGGTAAAAAGATAACAAGATAAACAATCCATAGGAATTATGGTAATGTGAATCTCAAATACAATTAGAATTAAGTAAAATACAATAACTCAGAGGTTTATTCATGCTTTGTGTCCTCAGTAGTGTGTGGTTTCATTGACTCTATGTTAACTTCCTCTTAGTCCATACTGTTAATGGTGGAAAGTCCCAAGCATTCAAGAAGCTGGTATCCCCGATACTGACAGCCACATGCCCTTTTGTTCATTTATTAACATGTTTTTGCTATCAATATTAAAGAAAATTGCATTTTAAGATTCAGAAAAAGACGTGTTTCTCAAAACAAAACATCGTCTGCCCAATGCAGCGACGAAAACGAAAGTGAAAGTACATTTTATAAGATGCGCACCCTTCTGTCTAAACAGTATCTAAATGGTGAAACATTGAAATTATATTAACAATTAGGGCATAATATCATATTATAGTGTGCTTCTGAGTAAACGATGGTTATGACGAGTCTTATGACTAACTACATTTCGCCTACAGTCGGCCTACAGCTTTCAATCAGATGACTGGGCGATATAGTGTAACTGCAGCTACATTCAGTTAGCTCTAGTCAAAATCTTTCATATAATAAATATATCATTAATTTTACTCACCACGAAACCCAGAAGCAGTATCGGCAGAAGTAGATGCATCTTAGCTCCCAGCATGTTGTCTCTCTCCACGGTCAAAGTGTGTCTGCTCTGTCCTCCCCTCCTAACTATAAACGGTTAGACTGTTTGTGAGGGTGGAGCTGAGAGAGGGGATTTCCTCCGTGACTTTTTTTTTATCCTAGATGACCATTTCCTGTAAATGCAAAGGCATCCACAGGGAATCCAGAGTGGTGATTTTCCAGAGAAGTATTTTAAACTTTAAGAAAAAAATATCAGT